TTTGAATCATAGTTAGAAAATCTTTCCCTACACCAAGATTAGAGAATTCACTCATATTTTCTCCTAGGAATTGCATAGTTCTTTATAATTAGACCTTTTGCATTCAGGTCCCTGATGCATCTGGTTTGGTTTTGTATGTGGTTGTATTAGTCTGTTTTCATGCTGCTGATAAAGACATACTGGAGACTGGGTAATTTATTTAAAAAAAGAAAAAGAAGAAGAAGTTTAGTGGACTCAAAGTTCCATGTGCCTGGGGAGGCCTCACAATCATTGCAGGTGAAAGGCACATCTTACATGGCAGCGGGCATGAGAGAGAATGAGAACCAAGCTAAAGGGGAGCCCCTTATAAAAACATCAGATCTTGTGAGACTTATTCACTAACACGAGAACAGTATGGGGGAACCGCTCCCATGATTCAATTATCCCCCACTGGGTCCCTCCCACAACACGTGGGAATTATAGGAGCTACAATTCAAGATGAGATTTGGGTAGGGACACAGCCAAACCAAGTCATGGTGTGAGGTGCAGATCTAAATTTCTTTTCTCCAAATGTCTCCAAGTTGTCCCAGCACCGTATATTAAAAAGTGCAGGCCAGGCGTGGTGGCTCAAGCCTGTAATCCCAGCACTTTGGGAGGCCGAGACGGGTGGATCACGAGGTCAGGAGATCAAGACCATCCTGGCTAACACGGTGAAACCCCGTCTCTACTAAAAAATACAAAAAAACTAGCCGGGTGAGGTGGCGGGCGCCTGTAGTCCCAGCTACTCGGGAGGCTGAGGCAGGAGAATGGCGTGAACCCGGGAGGCGGAGCTTGCAGTGAGCTGAGATCCGGCCACTGCACTCCAGCCTGGGCAACAGAGCCAGACTCGGTCTCAAAAAAAAAAAAAAAAAAAAGTGCATCCTGCTAGGCACAGTGGCTCATGCCTATAATCCCAGCAATTTGGGAGGCCGAGATGGGAGGATTGCTTGAGGCCAGGAGTGTGAGACCAGCCTGGTCAACATAGTGATACCTTATCTCTTAAAAAAAAATGAAAATTATATATGTAAATATGAAAAGTCCATCCTTATTACAGTGATTTGAAGCCAAACTTTCATATATATTTTGATTTCTATCTGGACTTTTAATGCTACCACACTGGTCTGTCTGTCTCCTTGTGTGCCACCGTGTTTAATTATGGAGTCTCTGTGGTTTGTTTTCATGCCCAGGAGTTGCTTCATTTTTTTCTTCAGGGTTTTCCTAGCTCTTCTTTCTTATTTGTTTTTCATTGTGACCATTAGTATCAACTAATGTAACTCTATAAAATAGTTTACTGGAATTTTTACTGGGATTATATTGAATTTACAAATTAATTTAGGGAGAACTGTCATCTTTATAATGCTGGGTTATCCTATCTAAGAGTTGGGGTTGTCTTTTCTCTTGTTCGTATCTACTTTGGTGTCTTTCAAGAATGTCTTACATTCTTCTTGTATAGATTTTGTGAAATTCTTGTTAAATTTGTTCCTAGATATTTAATCCTTGTTGCAATTATTTTAAATGGAGTTTTCTCTGATTATTATTTTGTATTTGAAAGCTATTGATTTTTGTATGTTAATTCTGTATTAGTGAATTCTTTTATTGTTTGCGTTAGTTTTATCATTGATTCTCTGGACGTTTCCAGGTATGTATGGTTATCAACTGCAAATAGAAGTGGTTTTACTACTTTACCCCTTCTTATAATGCTGATTGATTTCTCACGTCTCAGTATATTGGGTAATACCTCTCATACAATGTTGAACAGAAACGGAGACAGTGAGCATCTTTGCCCTGTTCCTGATAGTAGTAGAAATGCTATTAGTTTTTCTTCATTTAGTAATTAATTAAGGAATGTGTATTTTATTAATTTAACAGTATAACCCTCAATTCCTGTGTTCTTTAACTTTTATCATAAATAAGTTTTAAATTTTGTTAAAGGATTTTTCAGAATCTATGGAGGTCATCACATTATTTCCTTACGTTTATTAATATAGTACATTATATTAAGAGTTTTCTAATATTTCGAATATCTTAGACCCCATTTCATATTTTTACATTGATATCGAGCAATTGATTGGTGCGTAATTGTATTTTCTTGTTCTTTCTGTCTGGTTTATCAGTGTTATATTTGCTTCATAAAAGGAGACAGTGTGCTAGAATCTTCTTCATAGAGCATTGGCATTACCTGGCCTTTGAAGGTTTGAGAGAATTCCCCTGGGAAACCATCTGGTCCTGGGGCTTCTTGTGGGTAGTCACTTAATAACTCTTTCTGTTTCTTCTGGGAAATCATCAGTTTAAACTTTCTAACTCTAATGGGATCAGTTTTGGTAATCAGACTATCCTTAGGAAGTTATCAGTTACATCTACATTTTTCAAATTCATTTGCATAGAGGTCTGTGAAATAGTCCCTGAAGATTTTTAGAATTTCTTGTTTCATTGGTTATTTCCCCTGGGTCCTTTCTTATTTTCTACTTTTGTATTCACTCCTCCTTTTTCTAGAGCAACTTAACTAGTGGTTTGTCTACTTTTTCTCCCTCCAAAAACCAGGATTTATATTTGTACATTAGATCTACTGTTTTTCTGTTCTCCACCTCATTAATTTTATCTTATCTATTCTTTTTTTCTCATTAATTTTAGCTTTTTCCTTCATGTTTTCTTTGTGTATTATTTTGGTTTGCTTTCTTGTTCTTTTCCTAGTTTTTATGAGCTGGGAATTACTATTGTTATTATTTGTTTTTTGAGACAGTCTCGCTGTGTTACCCAGGGTGGATGGAGTGTAGTGGCATAATCTCAGTTCACTTCAGCCTCAGCCTTATGGGCTCAATCTTCCCACCTCAGCCTCCCGAGTAGTTAGGACTACAGGTGCACCACCATGCCTGGCTAATTTTTATATTTTTTGGTAGAGACAGGGTTTCACCATGTTGCCCAGGTTGGTCTCAAACTCCTGGCCTCAAGCGATCTGCCTGCCTTAGCCTCCCAAAGTGCTGGGATTACAGGCATGAGCCACCGTGCCTGGCTGGGAATTAATTAACTTTCATTTTTATTGATAAAAGTGTCAGTGCAATGAATTTTTCTCTGATTACTGCTTTAAATGAATTTCATGGATTCTGATATGTAGTGTTTTCATTGTAATTATTTTTAAAAAATTCTTTCCTCTCAGTTGGTGACCTAAGAAATAATAAGACTCTTAAATTTCCAGGTGGAAGTGCCTTCCATGTTTTTGTTTTTGTTAATGATTGATAGTTTATTGCATTATAATCAGAAAGTATTGGTTACATTTCTACCCTATGGAAATCATTGTTTTTTCCTTTAATGCCATCAGTGTTGACTGTGCTGTGGGTTCTTGAGAGGAATGTGTATACTCTGTTATCAGGGTACAGAGTTCAATATATATGTCCATAAGGTCAACCTTGGTTGATTATGTGGTTTAGATCTATCTCCTGACTTGTTTTCTGTATACTTGCTCTGCCTTGTACCGAGAATGGTGTATGAAACCTCCTATTATTAGTATGTTTCTAACAGCGTTTGTTCACATCTCCTGTAGTCTTTGTTTGATAAAGGTTGTGGTTATATTATTCGGCTCATAGTGTTCATGAGCATTCTGTCTTCACTGTGAACTGTGGCTTTTAGCGTTAAAAAAAAAAGTCCTTGGTTGTATTTCACACTTTGGGGTTGTGTTCTATGTGATCTGCTCCTGCTCTCTTTTTGTTTTTATTTCTCTAGTATACCTTGGTCCGTCCTTTTTATTTGTAGCCTTTCAGAATCACTTGATTTTAAGTGCGTCCCTTGTATACAGTGTATAGTTGGGTCTTGTTCTTTTAAAATTTTGGATATAGAAAGATTTGTATTTTCTAGTGATTATTTGTATTTAAACCTATTTAATATACTTAGGTTCCCTGTTTTATTATTTAACCCTTCATTGTCCGAATCTTAGTTTTTTTCAGCATCAGTTAATACTCACCTATTGCTTATACAATAATTAACTATACAATAATGAGAATCCTTCTCTCTTCCTTTTCCTTCATCTCCCATTTTTAATGCATCATTTCTAGTCATAAGGTTTCTATATTGTATAAATGCATTAAGTGAAAAGAGTTCATTAAGAATATATTAAATAATAATAGCACAGATAATAAACACATTTTGCAAAAGTCATAAAGTTGATTTGCAAGTGGCTGAAGAAGTTGGGGAGATGCCAGTGTACTATGCAGTGTGTTCTGAAATCGGGGCTGTCCAGCAGCGGGGCCTCTTGGGCTGGCTACCAGGGCTCCTGGCGTGGATTGCTGGCCCTGGGCCAGGGTGGCCTCCATGACTGTTTACAGAGGTCCTCCTGCCTCTGAAACTCTGTGTCAGTTACAACATCGTTACTCTAAACATACAGAAAGTCTTGGGACTTTCAAACTGAGTGCTTCTTTTCTTTAGCGTTAGAGGATTCCTTTTGTAATTATTTTCTTTAGTTCACATAGTAGTAAAAACCAAATGCTAACTTTCCCAAAGGTTATCCGTTATGGACTGTGTGTGCAACCTTTGAAATAAATAAAATTAATTTGCTCTTCAGTGCCAGTGAGACAGAGAAGTAGTCACATGTGAATTATTCATATTGTATTAAGAAAGTATGTAATTTGATACTAAGCAAAAGCATATAACTAGTTTCTTGAACAAAATTTATGGGTTTTGCACATTTTCAGTATCAATAAACCAGTCACCGTAGTTTATTACAAGAGTTTCAGCCAAAATTATTTGAAGTGACTATTTTAAATGTATAAAGCTAAGTAAATATCAGGCAATGCAAGAAATAATGAGGTTAAATGTAATTGATGATTGTCATTCTGAAAAGATAAAGTTTAAAGTCATCTCCTCAAATGCCCTATAAAGTTTTCCAGCTCCACAGGGGTCTGTATTTGCAGCTGAAGTTTTCTGAAAGCAAATTCAATTAGAGTGTTGTGTGCTTTATGAGACCATCTAAAGTGAAATTTTGTTTGTTTCAGAAGCGGGCATGCAGGAGATTAGAAGTCAGTGTGCACGAGCGTGGCTGCCACCAGGTGAATGCCTGTGTCCTGGCATCGTGGGGCCCAGAGGACCGGGAGCCTCCATCAAGAGGCTGCCCCCCAGCACCGAGGCCAGAGAGTAGCCAGGGGAGGCTAAGTACAGGGGTATGTTCCTGTTCCCACCAAACTAGTTGTGAGCATGTTGAAATATTTTAGTAGAAAGTGTAAATAATCATTGTTCTGATATATCTGCAACTGTGATTTGTTAAATAGATTTCTCAGAATGGTGGAAGGAGCTCAGCCCAGCCTTGCCCAAGATGTATTGCAGGGGAATCTGTAAGTGCATTAACCTTCTTGCTGTGACATAAAAGATAGACTTCTTCTTAAATATTAGATCCATAAAACAAAGTTAATAAAAACTGCAATTACGTTTCTGAAGAATGAGGAACATAAATAAAAAGGTGAAAATTGATTTAAGCTTTTCTTAGCATTCTATCGGTATACAAACTAATTTGTGTCCAACTTCAGATTGGAAATAGAAATTGCAAATACATTTAAAATTCCTTCTAAAAAACAGGGTTTAGGGAAGGGACAAGGCCATTGGATTTGGTTAAAATAGAGAATCATTTAAGGACATCTTGGAGAGAAGATCTTTCTCATTTAATTTTCCAAATAGGAATCACCATTGCTTTTTTCTTTTCCCTGTTTATGCTTTTCTTGCATGTTTCTGTCATAAACTTCACATAAATCACAGATTTCAGAAGGGAACACAGTGTTCACATCATTAATTCAAAGTAAAGGGAGGTCAGAAACTGCCAGAGTCAGATTCTCAGTCTCTTCTATTGGGCAGAATATCATAAAGTATATATTAGCATAATAATACCTTTGTTATTAATTTTGAACTTACTCCAAGAACAAGTTAATATGTCTTTGATAACCTCTATAATTCTTGGGTTTCTTTAATTTTAAATTTGAAATCTTAATATTGCAATAAAATAGAATTATATTTAAATTCCACCTAGAAACCAGGAATTTGTGTGTGTGTGTATGTGTATTTCTGAGATTGCCGCTAAAGATCTTTAGAGAAATGTATTGCTGTTTTTGATAAGCAAAAGATTGAGTCAATAAATTATGGAGATCCTCAGCTGACATACTGTAAGCTACTGTGTTTTACAATGATAAGCACTGATTTTGTTTCAAACAAAGACCTAAAACCATGACAGCCATCAACATGTCTGATGACAGGGTGAACCTCTAATTGTCTGAATTCCTTAGACAAATATGAAAACAAAGTTTAGTATGAAACTCATTCCATGAAGGTATACTTTGCTACTTTTTGTACTCTTTTTAGAAAAATTTTCATAGGTTATGTTGCATTCTATGGTGTAATTCTGAATAATGGTGAAATTAAAGATCCGGCAACTTGAATTTAGTATGTTTAGGTTGATTCACGTAGCTGTTAAATATACCCTAGAATACAAATGAATAATGCTTACTTTGAGAATCATGCCTCCATTGGGGTTGAATTCCTTGTTTGCCAATGACTGACTGGTGCCTTCTTTGTCCCCCCCCACCCCATTTCCATGGAATGTATCTTTCACATCCCCCCATCTGTTGGAAGCAAACACTTGGAATGTAGCACAGATTCTTAATGCTTTGAGAGCTTGTGTTCTGGCATGAATGGCTTAAAGAAAAAAAAATTTAGTTCCAGCAACTGATTGGATCATTTTGGCTAATATTCTGTTTGAACAACAGTACCTATTTGATTAGGGTTTTTCCTTTCTTTATAATTCCCCAAGCTTGCCTCTGTTATGTTTCGTAGGAAATGAATCTATGAGCAGAAAACCTTCATTGATATGTAAATATCATTTTTTTTGTTAATACTCAATATTCTTTTCATCTAAATTTCAGAAACTGACTTTAAAAAATCAGTTTCCTTTTATTTGTAGTTATTCTCAATAAAATTTCACCCAGGCTTGGGCGTTTTAATATTTACACCCACTATTTCTGAAAGTCTAATGTAAATAAAGATTGAAATGTGAATTTGAAAAGTCACACCTCTTGATATTTGAACAGACTATAGCTGCATATATCTTCTTCTTCTAATAATATGGCTAGTTTCTCTCCTAAGCTTTTAAAATAATAAGACACTATTTTTGTATTATAAAACATCAAAAGGTTCAGTGTTAAATAAAAAGCAAATAGTATTTTTAGCAATGAAAGATCCCTGGGAGTTGTGCTTAACAATAAATCACCATTGGGGCAAAATTCCAAATTTCAGAAGACTTTATTAAACTTGCAGTTCCATTCACAAATGCCTGCTTACACATGGACCTGCCCGCTCTCCTGTGATGCCCGTAGGCGGTTCAGAACGGTTCTCTTGGTCAGAGGGAAGCCAAGGTGATGTCAGGGGTAGTTGGTGTGAAATTCCTAATGGGAAGCTTACATGTGATTCTGAGTTAATTTGGTGGCTTTTCTCCAGTAATTCTCTAGTGTATTTTTGACCTTAGTAGGATGTCAGCTGATCTGATCTGTTCTGCTCTGAATTCTCAGTGTAGCCGTCTGAGCTTGGTGGTCCTTCTGTTCCTAAGCTTTTCCTTATGTTTATGATTGAGTTGTTTCTCACACATACAGGGTTTTGACATTTCCCATATGCAAGAGTTTCCTGGGCAGACCTCTTCAACCTCATTTTCCAAGTTTGCATTTCAGTCTATTTCTGTTGACCCATTCTGGCGCGTCGTAACCATTGTTACAATGGTTCAGGAGTGGCTGAGGTGGTTTCTTATAGTAATTACCATTAGGGTTCACCTCCTGCTGTACGTTATTATTTAAGAGCATCGTGTCGTAACCCTGTATCACCCTGCTCTTGTTATCGATGATCGAAATGAATGTGGTGAGACCTGATCTTGCTGCATCCAGGGCGTCTGCTCCTGCCCAGGGTCAGGCTGCTTGCTCTCGCTGTTGTGCACTGTCTGGGGCTGCAAGTCCTGTAGAGGATGATTGCCATCGCTAGGAGGCTTCCTTTCCTGCCACCACTGGCTCCCACGCTGGGCAGTCACCTGGGCTGCAGGCTTCCTTTCCCGGATCCGCACGGCTGGCTTGTACACAGGCCACACAGTAACCAAGTGTAAAATGGAAATGAAGCTGCTCTTTGCACATTGAAAGCAATTAAGTGAAAACCTAGGGGGCTGCCAGAGGTCTCCAAAATAACCAAAAAAAGGTACATGAAAAGGGGAGGAAGGCTTATAAGGCAGAACACTGTAGAAAGGATTTAGGATGTTGGTTGAGGGGAGACGTGATGGTATTTCCTCAGCACCGTGTTTTCCTAGAGGTCTCTGGTCCTGATGTTTTGTAGTCTCTCAGTGCTGGAATCCTCTGGAGTAGGGGCCACCCTCGGATCTTATTGGATCACTGGTCAGCTGTTGCCTGTTTTTTTCTCAGCTCTGACCCCCTTTCTCTGCCCCTCCTCTGTGTTGTGGAGACTGTGTTTCCCAGACTCCTTTGCTTCTGACTTCTGGGAGAATCCAGCCAACGTGAGGCATTGGCGGGACACAGGAATGCTGGGGAGAAGGAGGAGGAGGCCAGAGCATTTCTTTCTCTCTCTCTCTCAGCCCTCCCCCAGGACTCAGCTTCTGCAGAGCCGTCCCTCTGGGCCCAGCTCTTGCGAGGTCCACTGCCTCCTCACTTTGTCCTCCTGGTGAGTGTTTGGCTCCTGTACTAGTCCCTTTTCATATCACTATAAAGAACTACCTGGTGCCTGTAATCCCAGCTTGGGAGGCTGAGGCAGGAAAATCGCTTGAACCTGGGAGGTGGAGGTTGCAGTGAACCAAGATTGTGCCATTGCACTCCAGCCTGGGTGACAGACGAGGCTCCATCTAAAAAAAAAAAAAAAAAAAAAAAAAAAAACTATCTGAGACTGGATAATTTATAAAGAAAAGAGGTCTAGTTGACTCTCAGTTCCATAGGCTGTACAGGAAGTATGGCTGGGAGGCCTCAGGAAACTTACAATCCTGCTGGAAGGTGACGGGGAAGCAAGCATGCCTTACCATGGCAGCAGGAGAGAGACAGCCAGAGGGGAAGTGCCACACACTTTCAAACAACCAGATCTCATGAGAACTCACTATCACGAGAACAGCAAGGGGAAGTCTGCCCCCATGATCCAGTCACCTCCCACCAGCTCCCCTCTAACAGGTGTGGAGTACAATTCTAGATGAGATTTGGGTGGGGACACAGAGCCGAACCATATCAGCTCCCCCATTTGGCTTCTCATCTCTTCCATCATTTGTGTAGCCAAATCCTGTTACGGTCCCTCTGTTTGAAATACACCTAGATTGGTTTCTGTTTTCTTACCTGTGCTAATTAGCTAATGAATGGACAGACTCTCCTGGGGAGAAAAGTTGCTGTTTCTAACAGAGGTCTCTGGGCCTTTGTTGTCCCCTACAAGGGCTCTGTCAGTAGTCCGCAAGCTTGGCACTCCGGAGTGCTGGCAGGGCTGATCCCGGTGATAAGCCACATGAGTCTCGAGAGCCTGGACATGAAATTTCAAAATACAATCAGGCCCTTCAATGTTGCCCATCACTAATGCTCCTTCACTTCCTTTTACCTGTGGTTATTGGTTTTTATTGCTCAAACGGGTAGGGAGTTACCACTGAAAAGCCAGCATGCAAAACGTGGTGTTTCTTGGTGCCATGGAACCTCCGCTCCCATGTTGATTCTGGATACCAGCATTGTCATTAGCCTAATCTTTTTTTTTTTTTTCATTGAGGGCAAATAGCAAGGGAGCAGTCTTAATAAGCCTCCGTATTATTCACTTTTTGACGCTGAAATCTATTGCCTGACAACATTTGTGTGTGTGTGGTGTATATGGTGTGTGTGCATGTGTGTGTCTATGTACATATGTAGCGCATGTGCACGTCTGTGTGTGTGGAGTCAAGGCAATGTAGGAGTAGCAATTGAGGGCAGGGGAAGGGAGGTGTTTGGTCCAAACCTATTGTTTTGGTTCAGTTTTCCCTTGTAGGGACAGCAGGAGGAGCCAAAGTATGATTATTCTGATTCTAAATGGATGCATTTTTTTCTTTGTATTGCTTTTTATCTCCAAATTGGTGACCTTTAAAATACTTCTGTTTATTTTGTTTACATATCTGTACATTATTGGTCACTGCTTTCTACATCTACATCATCTATAAATACTGCACTAGAACAGGAAGGCTTGGAACCCGTTGATCTCTGCCCTCCTCCGGCGCCTGTGGTGACGGCTGAGAACGCTGCCTGTGCTTGCTATGGCGGGTCCGAGTGTCAAGCTGGGGACGGGGCCGAAGATGGAAATGTAACGTTCTGACATGGATGAACAGAGATCGATGCGCAGTGCCCTGCTCTTTGTGTCCTGTCTCGGCCACAGCTGATAGCAAGCATCCTTGTCAGTTCTTTCTTCTGTCCTGAGAGAAGAAAACACAATCATGGAGGGATCAACGGGAACTTCATTGATCATTCTGTAAGAATCAAATTGTGCTCCGTGCATTTCTCCCCCCAGGTTTGTCAAGGATCCTGGAGTTCATTGGTCTAACCCTGTCAATTTACAGATAAGGAAAGTGAGGTCCCCAGGCGCTAAGCGGTTGGCCTGCCACGCAGCGTCATTGATGGGGAGGCAGGGGCCTGAGCACTTGGCTGGGAGCCCCCTCTGCTTTCTGCTCTTTTGGCTGGTCAGTGTGTTTGCAGTCAGCATGCCGGCGTCACTCCCCCACGCTGGTGGCCCAGTGTCAGGCTCGAACACCCTCTGAGAAGTGTGGTGGTGATAGTGCAGGTTTTTGTGGATTTCATCCCCAGACACAGTGAGAAGCTCTTGGCTAAGACACAGGGCTGATTTACTCACACTGTGAGGGAATAAGCTGGGAATGGAAGAGTCTGGCTGTGTCAGTATAGCCAAATATGAATCCCAGAATAGACGGGTCTGAATAGACCACTGACAGAATCTTCAGATTTAGCTTCTAGCAGTAGCTGACAGTGAGTAGTTTCTCTGGAATATGGATATTGAAAAACTACCTTTAAAAAAATTTTAACTGTTATTTAGGTCATTTTCTGGTGCTAAAGGAGCTGAGGTGCTTCAGATGACTGGAAGAAAAAAGAAAAAAGTTCAATTTAGACTTCCTACAGACATGTTAGATAAAACCAACACAGATGTGTCCCCCTCCTGCTGCACAGACTCAGGGTAGACTCTGATAAAAAACACACAGCTGATCATGTAATAGGCAAAGAGAGAAAGCAAAGGTAGAGCCGTTGGGACCAACACACTCTTTAGTGGGCCATTACTGTCTGGGTACTTGTTGGGTTTGGTCCTAGAATGCACCCAGGGCTGGGAACTGGAATGCTCATGTCCAGAGACAGATGTGGTTTTGGCCTAACAGAGGTGTGGGAGCTACAATTTGGATCCTTGCATGAAGTTTAGAGGCTCGAAGATCTGATTATACCCTAAAAGGGGACTGGAAATTACAATACCAGGCTTTGCATGGGTGTGGGCTTCAAGCTTATTTTATCTCAATTGTATAGGAACCAAAAGTAGAAGCCCTGCCATAAAAACAGTTGCAGCCCATTGAAGTTCTGAAGGCCTTGGGTGGCAGCAGATGCAGAACTGTCCTGTAGGCATGCCTCCACCACCCAGTGCGTAGGAGATTTGGAGATAAAACAACCCCTACTAAGGATAAGATCACAATAGAAAAATAAGCACATAAACAAATCTACTACCATGGTGAGAAGAGGGGTCAGGAATTAAACAGTAGAATCAAAATCTCCAAGAATCTGAAATAATAGAAGAACCTGAAGTTGGATATAAAGTACGGGCACACCTCATTTTATTGCACTTCACTTTATTGTGCTTTGACGATATTGTGGTTTTTATTCATTGAAGATTTGTGGCAACCTTGCATTGAACAAGTCTGTTTGGTGCCATTTTCCCAAAAGCATATCCTCACCTCATGCTTCTGTGTCAACATTTTTAAACAACAAAGTATTTTTAAATTGAAGTGTGTACATATTTTTAGGCAGAATGTTGTTTGCACACTTAATAGACTACAAGCATATTGTAAACAAAACTTTTATGTGCACTGAGAAACCAAAACATTTGTGTGACTCACTTTATTGCAGTGTTCTGCAACCAAGCCTGCAATGTCTCTGAGGTATCCTGTAGTTATTTTACAAAATGATTAAAGAAGAAATCAAGCCATAATAAGAAAAGAAGACAGTTTGAAAAAAATATTGGACGATTTTTTTAAAAAGAACTAAAAGTGCATGATATGTTCACTGAAGTTTTTTAAAAAAGTCATCAGAGTAGACACAGTTAAAGACAGAATTCATGAATTAGAAGATAGAGCTGGATAAATCCCCCAAGCATAGCAAGGGAGATAAGAAGATGGAAAGTATAAAAGTGTAATTAGGAGTCATAGAGGAAAGAATGAGAAGGCCCATTAGGAAATCCAGAAGGAAGGACTTTAGAGAATGTTTGAGTAGAATAGTTGAAAAGATAATGGCTGAGAATTTTCCAGAATTGAAGAAAGGCATATGTGGTCAAACAATTTTGAAGTAGAATAACAAGCAAGGGAAATTATCCATCAGCTATCAAGATATATTACAAAGCTGTGACCATTAAGACAATGTATTACTGGCCCAAGCATAGACTAACCAATGAAATAAAATTGAGATATTTAAACATGCATATATGGCAGTTTGAAGGCATTATAAATTAGATTTACATAGACCTATACATTGTGCCAGGGTAATTAGTTATCCATATATGAGGAAAGATAAAATTAGATCTCTGCCCCACACAAAATCAATTCTAGGAGGTGGGAGGTGGGGGTGTGAGTTAATAAGAACCTATATATGAAAAAAGAAAACTTTAAAATTGTTAGTAGAAAATATAGAATATGATGGCCAGGCATGGTGGCTCATGCCTATAATCCCAGCACTTTGGGAGGCCAAGGTGGGCAGATCACCTGAGGTTGGGAGTTGAAGACCAGCCTGACCAACATGGAGAATCCACATCTCTACTGAAGATACAAAATTAGCCAGGCGTGGTGGTGCATGCCTGTAGTCCCAGCTACTTAGGAGGCTGAGGCAGGAGAATCACTTGAACCTGGGAGGTGGAGGTTGTGGTGAGCCAAGATCACACCATCGCACTCCAGCCTGGGCAACAAGAGCAAAACTCTTGTCTCAAAAAAAAAAAAAAAAAAAAAAAAAGAAAAAGAAAATATAGAATATGACTACATATATTGACATGCTACATATCAGAATTCCTTCATCATTGTCTAAGAAAAGCTCTTTGCAGGAAAGATATTTACAATGCACAAAACATAAAGATGGGTGTCTTGAATAAATATGCAAATCAGTCCAGTAAATAAACTCAGAATGGCCAATAAATATAAATAGGTGTTCAACTCACTAGTAATTTAAAGACTTGCAAATTAAAACATCAAATTAGCAAAAATAAAAATGGTGCTATAAGTGTGGGTGAGGTTGTAGAGTGAAAGGACACGTTCACTTCCTCAGAAGCCATGTAAATGGGTAAAGCTTATGGTGTGCATTTCTGGTGAGCTAGAAGAGATATAGTCCTAGGTGTATATCCTAGTTGATGCCCAAGAAAGTGTATACAAAATATTTGTTGTATTTGGGAGGCTGAGGCGGGCAGATCACTTAAGGTCAGGAGTTTGAGACCAGCCTGGCCAATATGGTGAAACCCCATCTCTACTAAAAACACAAAAACATTAGCTGGGTGTGGCGCATGCCTGTAGTCCTAGCTACTCAGGAGGCTGAGGCAGGAGAATCACTTGAGCCTGTGAGGTGGAGGTTGCAGTGAGCCAAGATCCCACCACTGCACTCCAGCCCGGGTGATGGAGCAAGACTCTGTCTCAGAACAAAACAAAATATTTGTTGTAGCACTGTTAGTGTAAGAAAAGCCAGAAACAACCTAAATGTTCATTAATAGAATGGATAAATGAATTGCAACATATTTACTCAATGAAATGTTATAGAGAGCAGTGAAAATGAATCAAATGGATAAAAAAGGAAATTACAGAAGGATCTATGTAGAATGATACTATCCAGATACAATATTAAGCATGGGAAACATATATATGTACTAAAGGAATAAAAACATTTGTGAGAGTGGTAAACAACTTCGAAATAAGGGAGTTATTTCCACTGAGTGGAAGGGCTCAGGGTGCAGTGTTTTGGTGATATCTAATGTTTTATCTCCTAAGTTATGTGATGGTTCATGAGTGTCTGTTATATTGTTGTCTGTACCTTTTTTCGTATGTCTGAAGAATCACGATGAGTCTTGGGTGTGATGTATCCACACATAGATAGGTCATAATGACACTGGAGGACATCAAAGGCAGAGAAACATCTGTAGAACTGCTAGAGAGAAATTACTGGCCAAGCATGAAGGGATGATAATTTGACAACAGATCTCTCATTAGTAGCAATAGATGCCAGAAGACCTTGGAATGCATCTTGGAGATGCTAAGGGACTGCACTGTGACATGCATGTGGACAGGCTGCACTAGGTCTAGGGCTGCAATGGCCACTACAGTGGGGTTCCTCTCCCCACCCCAGAAAATTCAGTTACAAAAAATGACTCAAGAACAGAGAAGAGAATCAGGTCAGTAACAATGGAAGAATCTGGGGACGTTATCAAAAAGCTACAGATTTTAAAAACCCTGTATGAAAGAACACATGGATGATTTAACATTAGGAAAACGATCACATTGTCTGCTCAGAGGGAAAAAGAGATCATCTATTAGATGCAGAAACAGCATACAGTCAGATGCTAATCCCATTCATGATACATGTTTAAAAACTCCACAAAACAGAAATAGAAGGCTTTCTTCTGCTAAAAATTAAGGATGTGATACTCAGTGGAAGCATCTGTGTTGAAGAGAAAAGGACGAGGATGCTATTAGCACTTCTGCTTGGTGTGCTATGGCTCCTGGCTGGCATAATGTGATAAGAAAAAGAAACAATGGGCATAAGAATTGGAAAGAGAAAAATCTAAATTGTTATTCCAGATGGCGTAATTATCTATATAGAATATCCAAGGCTGACCACAGTGACTCATGCTTATAATCCCGGCACTTTGGGAGGCTGAGACAGGAGGATCGCCTGAGCCCAGTAGTTAGAGGCTGCAGTGAGCCATGATTATGCCACTGTACTCCCTCCCAGGCGGCAGGGTGAGACCCCATCTCTTAAAAAAAAGATGTCCGGAAAATCTGCAGATAGACTACTAGAACTAATATCCAGCAAGGTTGTTGAATATAAGATGAACACACAAAAATAGATAGACTCTTACTTACCGGTAACACTCAATTAGAAGAACAAAACTCCATTCACATGGTTGCAGCATGAGGATGTAAGTTGCTATCTAGTGTTCTGTATTTCATCTTGAAGGACTCCCTTCAGCATTTCTTGTAAGGCAAGTCTTCTAGCGACAGATTTTCTGTGTTTTTTTTTTTTTTTTTAATCTGGGGATGTCTTCATTTCTCTATCATTATAATTTCAATGTCATTTGGTTTTGTTGGACATCAAGGAAAGGCATGTATGGCCACATGGTTTTGAACTAGAGTAACAGGTGCTGACAGTCTTTCTCCTGGAACTTGGAATATGTCATCTCGCTGCCTCTCCCTCCATGATGTCTGATGAGAAGTCAGCTGTTAGTATCACTGAGGCTTACTTGCACATGGTATGTCACTTCTCCCTTTCTCTGTGCAAGATTCTTTGGTTCTAGATCATTTTATTATGATGTGTCTAGGTGTGGATCCCTTTGGGTTCATGCTAGTGGAAGTTAATTGAGTTTCTTGTGTATGTAGATTAATGTTTTCAAATCAAATCTGCAAAGTCTTTGGCCATTATTTAAAAAATATTCTTTCTGCCCTTTCTCCGTGTCCTTTTCCTCTGAGACTCCCGCTGACGGGTGTGTTGGGACACCTGATGGTGCTGCACAGTCTCTTCGAAGCCCTGTTCATTTTCCTTCGCTTTTTTTTTTTTTTTCTGTTCCTCAAACTGGATAATCTCAATTGATTTCATGTTCACTGGTTCTTTTTTTTTTTTTTTTTTTTTTTTTTTTTTGAGATGGAGTCTCGCTCTGTCGCCCGGGCTGCAGTGGCCGGATCTCAGCTCACTGCAAGCTCCGCCTCCCGGGTTCATGCCATTCTCCTGCCTCAGCCTCCCGAGTAGCTGGGACTACAGGCGCCCGCCACCTCACCCGGCTAGTTTTTTGTGTTTTTTTAGTAGAGACGGGGTTTCACTGTGTTAGCCAGGATGGTCTCGATCTCCTGACCTTGTGATCCGCCCGTCTCAGCCTCCCAAAGTGCTGGGATTACAGGCTTGAGCCACCGCGCCCAGCCATGACCTTCTTTAGTTCTTTGACCATATTTAAAATGGCTGAGGTGAAGTCTCTGTCTGGTAAGTTCATTTCTGGACTTTGTGTTCTGTTTGCCCCTCCAGGTCAGATCCACTGCCCACCTTTACTGGCATCTGCACAGTAGGCCAGCCTGTATGGCTTACATCGGGGGGTGCCTGGGCTCTCCCACTTCCCTTTGGGCTCAGCCCCTAGGGGTATTTGGGACAGGCAACAGGAGACTGGAGAGCGAGGGCAGGGTATGTGGCCATGTCCCCTGGCCAGTGTCTGCTTCTCTGAAGGAGCCAGCAGCATGTGGCACCTCCTCCTTCCGGGTTCTGGCAGCCGCTGCTGCCCTTTATCCCTTGGCTCTGGCCCCTGCACTGTCCCTCGCGGCTCCCAGGCAACTTTGTGACGAATCCTTTTGTAATAATCCCTTTGTGAGGTCTCCTGTTCGCCCCTGTATCTGTTTCCTGTTGGGGCTATGACTGGTACAGAAGGGTGCACACCCACTTTCGAGTGTTGACGCCTCCAAGAAGGAAGGGAGGAAGATGAGGCAAGGGTGTGACAGGTGTCCATCGGCACAGGGCACCACAGGTGCTCTAAAGACATTTCACCATACAAAGATGCATGCCAGCAAAGACGGATGATTGGCTTAGAGGTCCAAGCTTTTACTGTAGGCCTTTGAAGAATTCTCTTGAGAAGGGACAGTGTTTTGTGGCAGTAAAGATGAATATGCTGTTAAAGGAAGAAAAAATGACTCCTCTGGTAGATGGTAATGGCAGGAATCATCAACATCTTTAACCCACAGAGGGCTGCTGTCATTCTGTCACACAGGTACTCGGGGAGAAGCGGAGAGCTAGCCACAGCCAGGGCTCTGCCCGTGAAGGAAAAATGGCTTCAGCAAAAAGGGTAGGGGATGTGGGATGCAGTTCTCTCCTCCCCCAGTCTACAGAGATGACTTGCAGCTAGATGTACCGGAGGCGAAGGCATCAATCGTGGTGTTTCACGTGATGGTCCCAGATGGAGTGAGGTGTGTTTCTGTTGGCCCTGCTGTCCTTGCTGGCTCCACAGAAAGGTCATGGAGAGCCCAGCGAGGAGGGCTTCCAAAAAGGAAAGGGGAACATTTTGAGGGAGTTCATGCATGGTGGCAAACCCTGTAAAGAAGCCATTGCAGTGAGAGATGAAAGAAGGGCTGAGGCCACGCACGTGTGCCGCAAGCGTGCAGAGGAGAAGGCGCTGGGCAGCAGGTGCAGCCAGAAGCAGCTGGCCCTGGCCCCTTTTCATCCCGGGGTTAGAAGCAAATAAAAACTCCCTCTTCATAAACGTCGTTCTCTTGCTCCGTGGAACTGTGTTTTACCAAAAGTGGAAAAGGGTTTTTCCATTATTGCTGATCAAATGACTTTTCAAGCCTGACCAAACAGGAGGCAAGGCATTTTCATTGTCCACAGTAAGACTCACAGTCAAGGCACAATGAGCCTGAAGCTCCTCATCAGACCTGCCTCTGGTGGCTGGTGTGGGGCATCTGTGAGTCCCAGAGTCCGGGGACTTGAGGTCCCACTGGCCCAGCCCCGGTCTAGATTGGGGTCCGTATGAGGCTTCTCTTTGGGCGTCACTGGGGGCTGCTTGCTTTGAGAGAGACAGAGACAAACTGGGACGTGTCAAGAAGAGAGAGTAGGATTGTGTGGGGGCTTGAGATCATGCCAGGGCAGAAGGTTTAAACGAGCGATTTCTAAAGGTTCTTTTGTGTCTAAGAGAGAGTAGAATGATGCGGGGGCTTGAGATCGCACCGGGGCAGAAGGTTTAAAGAGCAATTTCTAAAGCTTCCTTTGTGTCTAAGATTCTGGGTCTTGGCCAGCTGCGTTGGCTCACACCTGTAATCCCAAGACTTTGGGACGCTGAGGTGGGTGGATCGCCTGAGGCCAGGAGTTCTAGACCAGCTTGACAACATGATGAAACCCTGTCTCTACCAAAAAAAAAAAAGCCAGGTGTGGCGGCAAGCACCTATGGTCCCAGCTACTCAGGAGGCTGAGATGGGAGGATCTCCTGAGCCCAGGAGGCTGAGGCTGCAGTGAGCCATCATTGTGACACTGCACTCCAGCCTGGGTGACAGAGCCAGGCCCTGTCTCAAAAAAAAAAAAAAAAAAAAAATTCTGGGTCTTAGTCCTTAAATTGATGTGGCTCTATCTTTGTCCCCAAGTTTTATCCATCCTGTCTCAAACATGTCTTCCAGATATACCCCTCCTTGAACAGAGCAGGGAAGGATGCGTTAGGAGTAAGTCACTTCAGTGAATAGCTTTTTTGAAATGAATTAAACTACATTTCCCTGCAATCCTCCCGTCTCTGCCTTAAGAGAAGCCCACTGTCTCCTGGGCCTGTGTACCCCACTGCACCTCAGAGTGAGCCTCCCAGGCTTCCGCCGACTCTGCCCCTTCAGTGCACGGCCCAGAGCCGCGATTTGCCAGCTGCGCTCCTGCGCTCAGAGTCTCCCTACAGAACAGGTCCTTGTGCAAAGAAGTTCAGGAAATGCTACGCACTTTCCGCTGCCTTTTAGAGATTTGATGTCCATTACACTATGAAAGACCTTGAGAATTGCATGAAGAAACTTGTTTCCAAAATGTCCTTTTGTAAAGGGATACCTGCTACACATGTGATTCTGGGAATATTCTGGGAAGTAAAGGCCTGTTGAATATATGCAGCACCTGTATGCACCATGGCATCCAGGGCCCTTCAGATCTCAGTGCTGCTTGATCTCCCAGACAGCTGCTCCCATCCCTGTCCTGTGCGCCACAAGCCCCCGCTCCAGCTGCCACAGCTTCTCCGATCCTGGAACAGTCTGACCTTGTGCTGTTCTTACCGCTTGGGATATACCTTCCCACCTCCAAAGATTCTCTTGCTCCTTCGTGGCCCGCCCAGGATTCCTCTCTTGTGTGAAGCCTTCAGGCCCCTCACCAGGTAGGGTCACGTGCTCTCTTCCCTGGCTCCTGTAGCGTTTTGTTCTGATCACTCGAAGGAGCCATCAGTGTCTCACGTCAGTGCTCTGTTGTCTGATAGTCCCTCCAGGCAAGTCCAGAGTCTCTCCTCTCTGGTCCCCTTGGGTCAGGGCAGCCCCTGCCTTCCAGGAAGCAGGGATGTCATCAAGGACTGGACTGCTTTGTTCCCTCACCACCCAGCCTACCCTGCAGTTCTGGGCTGCAGCCAGCTCAGGAGCCTGTTGCCCTGATGGTGGAGTCCTTGCAGGACAGGGAGGCTGTGCCTGTCTCTGCCTGTGGGCCAGAGTGCCACGCTGCTATGTGCCAGGATATGTGGCCAAGTGTGACAGAGATTCCTCGATGCCGACAAGCCTCTCATTGCACAGTGGTACAGTGTCTGGCCAACTGTCTATCCCCAGCCATCTGGTTCTCCCAGTTACTTCTGCGGGTGAAAGTGAGGAGATAAGAGGCCTGCCCCAGGAGATGGGTGGGGGGACGGAGGGTCCCTGGTGGGGATTGTCATGAGCCTCTGTTACTGAAAGATGTCCCTGGTGAGAGGAGCCACTTTTGTGTTGCTTTTGTGCTGAATCCTGACTCAATATTTAGACATTTTAAAAAATTTATTTTATGAATATATGAATAGTATTTTCATTCTCTTGTTATTCCTCATAGTACTATAGGAAAGAAGGGAAGTAACATTTATTGAAAATGTTCTGTGTACCAGTCACTACTGGAAATGCTTTAAATATCTTAATGTAATACGTATTAATATATCTATAAACAGATACCTCAGGAATTAAGATATCATTTACAAATAGTCATTTTAAATGTAGTGCTTTGTGTTGGCAAATGTATAGCCAAGGTGTATTAATTTGGCAAGTTAAATTAATTCCTGCAATGTGCTGTTTTATCTTTGTAGGGACATTTTAACCATACCAAGAATCATTAGAAGATGCAAGCTGGAAGAAAGAAGATCCCAGTTTTGGTTTTTAACCCTTCATGTTGCAGCAAATGTGAATCTCCTACAGATGGGTTTGGGGATTTCCCTGTTCAAATAGCAGCCCAGTGTCCTCTGTGGGCGGGGGGAAGTTTGTCCTTTCCTTCTCGTAAATCCACCATCCTCTGCACGAGAGCCAGGAGAATCCACATCACTTCAAAAGAGCCCCCAAGGCTGGACGTGGTGGCTCACGCCTGTAATCCCAGCACTTTGGGAGGCCGAGACAGGCGGATCACAAGGTCAGGAGATCGAGACCATCCTGGCTAACATGGTGAAACCCCGTCTCTACTAAAAATACCAAAAAAAATTAGCCTGGCGTGGTGGCGGGCGCCTGTAGTCCCAGATACTTGGGAGGCTGAGGCAGGTGAATGGTGTGAACCTGGGAGGCAGAGCTTGCAGTGAGCCGAGATCGCACCACTGCACTCCAGCCTGGGCGACAGAGCGAGATTCCGTCTTAAAAAAAAAAAAGATCCCCCAAATCATTACTACGTACTATAGCCTCCTTTCAAATGTTCCTGGTTGAGAGGGAGATGAATTGCATTATTTACAAGTCAAAAAATGTTGTATCAAACTTCCTATGAGCTTGGGCACTCATGGCCTGTGGAGGCCCGCCCAGACATAGCCAGGATGCTTTTTCATTGTTTTGTGGATGTACCCAGGGCTGTTTTCACATTCTTTCATTAAAAGGCTTATTTTTATATTTAAAATGTTCTAATCTTGCAGTGAATTTTACTAAGTGCTAGTGTCCAATCTGTTCCCCAACTGAGGTTATCAGAGACAGAATCCCTTTTATATTCAAGTGGAAATTACTCATTTTCTCCTGGGTTTTCAATGTATTGTCTGACTGTGAGGCTGGCATTATTTTCTCTGGGTTTGAAAGCTTCCTGAGATGTCCTATTTGTAAGCTTCTGTCCGCATCACGTTATCTGCAGGGAATGTGCTCCCCCCAGGGAGTGTCCTCCACACTGATGTGGGAAGAGCCCCCTCTGTAAGTAGTCATGGCATTCGGTCATGGGGAGAATTCCGTACGGGAAAGATAGAGCAGAGGAAGACAAGGTGTTGAAACCGGTACAGTGTCACCTGGGATATGGATGATCCAGAATTACAGGACACGTCTTCATTAACCCTGGGTAAGATCCCAGAGCTGTGACTCGATTAAAAAATGCCAGTTCGTGCCAAACAGCCAAAGCTGGGGGAGAGGGAGAAGGTGTTGGCATTTGTGGCCTTACGAAAGATTTTTATGAAGAGCTTTAGTTTGTTAATTAAGATGAGATACACATCTTCATTTTTACGAGAAAAAAGAGAAAACTCTTAGATACACAGCATGTTCTTTTTTGTGTGTAAACTCTTCCTTCTCACCTTCGTTCATGGAGAGAGCAGGTGTCCACGCAGTGTCAGGTGGGTGTTTTGTAGCTGACGTGGCGCGTCCCTCCAGCTATTCACACGAAGCTGGCTTTTATAGAGAACAGTCCCCAGGCATCCTCCTGCCCCAAGGAAAATGCCCCTGCTTGAGAGTTGGACAGATGTGAGTTCCCATCTCATCTCCACCGACCATCTCCACGTGACCTTGATGAGTCCTTAGACTTCTTGGAGCCTCTGGTTCCCATCTGTGTGGTGGGGAGGTCCCCCTCGGGGTTTGTCCTTAGTCCCCAATGCAACTCCTCGGTGTCAGCGCCCTCCCTCCCGGTGCACAGCCTCTCCAGCCCGAAGCAGGCCTTCTGTTCTGGAAAAGCAAAGCTCACGAAACATGATGACCAGGTGACAAGGACGAAAGGGATGAGGTGCAACTGGCCAGAATGTGGGTGTATTAGGGTTCTCTAGAGGGACAGAATGGGATAGGTGTATATGTGAAGGGGAGTTTATTAGGAGTGTTGACTTGCACGATCACAAGGTGGGGCCCCACAATAGGCCATCTGCAAGCTGAGGAACAAGGAAGGCAGCCTGAGTCCCAAAACCTCAAAAGTAGGGAAGTCGACAGTGCAGCCTTCAGTCTGTTGGTGAAGGCCCAAGAGCCCATGGCAAACCCCTGGTGTAAGTCCAAGAGTCCAAAAACGAAAGAACTTGGAGTTGGATGTTCAAGGGCGGGAAGCATCCAGCACGGCAGAAAGAGGAAGGCCGGAAGACTCAGCCAGCCTAGTCTTTCCACATTCTCCTGCCTGCTTTAGTCCAGCCATGCTGGCAGCTGATCAGATGGTGCCCACCCAGATTGAGGGTGGGTCTGCCTTCCCAGCCCACTGACTCAAATGTTAATCTCCTCTGGCAGCACCCTCACAGACACACCCAGGATCAACACCTGGCATCCTTCAATCCAGTTGACACTTGATATTGCTGGAGTTTCTGGACTGTGAAGGGAATGGAGGAGCTTGTCACTGGATACCTAAAAGGGGGGATGGCAACATTTTCTTGGTGTTTTCAGCCATTTTAGTACACAGGCCATGAAATAGAAGGCTCAGAAATTCCAGACTTTCCTAGGTGTGGTCCACACCTCAGTCCAATCCTAGTCTGACCTTGTGTGGACAGAGGTCCTGCCCGTGGCCTTGTTGTCTCCTGACAGCCGCCCGCCGCCCACCCCCTGACTTGCTGTCACAGCTGCCCTGGCATCCATCCTGGCCTTCAGCCCCACCTACCTGGCTCCAGAGTTGTCCCTGGCCACGGGACAGTCTCTGCTCTCCAGCCCAACCCACCTCCTGCTGGGATTACCTGGAGGAGCTCGCCGCGTGCAGAACTGTTTCTCCCAGGCAAATGAATTTGTCAGCACCAGAGGTACTAAAACAAATTAGCTAATAGGCAAAACCTGCATAGATTTCACTAAACTGGGTCTTGATGCGCCCATGACGAGCGTGAAATGGGATTATCCCTTTAAAGTGCTTCATGTTTGTGTTCTTGTCAAAAGAGGAGGAAAAAGACATTTTCTTACACCCTGAGGAAACAGACTGGGTGTTGATGTGTGTGTATTTCCATTAGAAAAGTTTTCAATTTGTTCTTTAATTATCATCTGTTATTGCTCTTGGGGGGAAATAGGGGCTAAAATGTCAAAACATACCTTTAATAATTTCACAAAGTAAGTTTCTAAACCAACAACTTATGAAACTCATTTTAGAACATTCAAAAGCATGGTAAGTGGTTAACAAAAATGTGTTAACATCATTTGACATGTTTTTCCTCCTTTTAAAATATAGTTTATTTCCAAATTTGTTTTAAAACAATAAAAAAGTATACTTGAAATCCATACTTATTAAAGAAAAAAATGTTTAATTATAAATTTTAGCTAAAAATGAAATTAAGTCATCCATAATTCCATTACTCAAAAGTAACTCATGTTCACATTTTGATGTATGTCCTTTCAAATTTTTTTCTATGTGAATATGTGCTCCTAAGCATATAGTCTTAAAATTTATATTTTATTTTATTTTGAGACAAGGTCTCACTCCTCTTACCCAGGGTGGAGTGCAGTGGTGCAATCACGGCTCACTGCATCCTTGACTTCCCTGGGCCCAGATGAGTACCTCCTCAGCTTCCTGAGCAGCTGGGACCACGGGCATGTGCCACCATGCCCGGCTAATTTTTGTATATTTTGTAGAGGTGGGGCTTCACCATGTTGTCCATGCTGGTCTTGAACTTCTGGGCTCAAGCCATCTGCTCACCTTGGCCTCTCCCAGTGCTGGGATTACAGGTGTGAGCCACCGCACCCAGCCTAGCATATACTTTTTTTTTTTTTTTGAGACCGAGTCTCACTCTGTCACCCAGGCTGGAGTGCAGTGGCGCGATCTCGGCTCACTGCAAGCTCCGCCTCCCGGGTTCACACCATTCTCCTGCCTCAGCCTCTCGACTACAGGCAAGGACTACAGGCGCCCGCCACCACGCCTGGCTAATTTTTTTGTATTTTTAGTAGAGACAGGGTTTCACCGTGTTAGCCAGGATGATCTCGATCTCCTGACCTCATGATCCGTCCACCTCGGCCTCCCAAAGTGCTGGGATTACAGGTGTGAGCGCGTGGCTGCATATACTTTTTAATGTTAACATCATGTACATCTTTTCATGTCAATTAATATATATTAGATTACCATTTTAAGTGGTTACAAGTATACTGTTAAATGGAAACGCTACATTTACCCAGTTCCTTCATAATGAGTGCTTAGGTTGTATCTATCTACTTGCTGTTACAGAAGTTGCTCTCTAAACATCCTTTTATCTTGTAAAGTTTTGCAATTATATTCAAAAGAACATTCTAGAAGTTGCGCTGTTGGATCAGAGGGCACCTTCTGGTTTTCTGCCCTCTGGAAAGGTACCAAGAGCCCATGTCCTGTCCCTCTGCACCAACATTGGCAGAAACATTTTTTAACATGGAGCATTTTGCACCCACAAAAGTAGGCAGGACAAACCGACAGGACAAGGAGCTCTGTCAGCTCTCATTCAGCTCCAGTGATGATCGGCCACGGCCAGTCCTGCCTGCCTGTTCCCAACTGGTCCCACCGTTAGACGCAAATACCAGAGTATGACTGCAGCTGCGCTTTTTTTCAGTGTCTCTCCTAAAGAGACATTTGAAAAGCAAAACCGCAATAAAATTGTCACTCCTAACACAAAATTTGCAATAATTCCTTATATCATGAAATAGCTAGCTTTTGATGAAATTTCTACATGCTTAATCCATTTCATGATGATTTTGTTTTGCTTTGTGTTTTATAACTTGTGTGAATTGGGATCGGAATCAGAGCCACATAGTGTGACAAGCTGATGGATTCCTAAGTCTCTCTCTCTGTTCAAGGATCTTCTCTCTCTCTCTTCCCTCTCCTGAAACTGGATTATAGAGTTTGTGCTGATTTTGCTAATTATATCTCCCTGAGGTTTTACCTGCTTCCCTGACCTGTGTTTCCTATAAATTGGTAGTTGATGTAGAAGCTTAAGCAAATTCCATTTTGATTTTTTTGGCAAGTCTTCTCTTTTGATTGATGCCAGTATGATCTTTGCTAGTTGCGGTTTTAATTTGAATGCCACACACTGCTTTTCGGAGATGCTTATGGGCCATATGTGTCTTTTGTAAACTTTCCACCTTTGCCCATTTTTCTATTATAGCATGTGTCTTCATTATTTATTTTTAAGAGTTCTTTATATATGAAGGCCGTTGAATCTGTTTTTCTCTCATGTTA